AACAAAAAAAAAATGTGGGCATATTGGTGTCAGAGCAGCACTTTTGTTGGCTATTATTCCTTATATTGGAGCTCTTTTTTCATTGTCCTCTTTATTTTTATGTACTGTTTTCTGCTCATCCATTTTGCAAAATCATTGCAGAAAAAGCTTTGGGTGGTGATCACTTTTGCAGCAGCAAGACAATGGCAATAACCTTGTTCTTAATATTTTGGCCTTGCATATCATAATTGATTTGGTCTGTAGACTTTTTTTTTTGGCTCGATTTAAAGTTTATGTGATATATATATTCTGGAGATGGTGAGTTATTTGGTTGTGAAGAGTCAAGTTTTCAATTTGTCATGAGTCCTTTCTTATTTCATGATTAAATTTATCTAGAAAGATAAGATTTTATGATCTACCTTTAGAAAGTGGAAAGAACTTGCGTCTTGCAATTGTGGGTGACTTGAAATAATGATGTATTTAATTAAATTCTATTATGGTAACAGATTGCAGAATCGCTGCATTACGAGCAGAAAAGCGTAGAGGAGATTGGTCAATGCGTCCATACTCATTTGAAAGAAGTTGAACTCAGTGGATTTTCTGGCACCTGGAGTCACATGGAGTGTGCCATATATTTATTGAGAAATGCTGTTGCACTCAATCAGATGGTTATTGACCCATGGTACTATACTGGACTCGATTTGAGTGTTGGCCCATACAGACATAGATGGGCTGAAGGGGTATGGAANGTGTAGAGGAGATTGGTCCATACTCATTTGAAAGAAGTTGAACTCAGTGGATTTTCTGGCACCTGGAGTCACATGGAGTGTGCCATATATTTATTGAGAAATGCTGTTGCACTCAATCAGATGGTTATTGACCCATGGTACTATACTGGACTCGATTTGAGTGTTGGCCCATACAGACATAGATGGGCTGAAGGGGTATGGAAGAATATTTATCATCAGCTGCTAGGATATGATTACTCCAATGCAAACGTGGTTGTCCGATACAATCAACGAACCCAACCCAACCCAACGCTTCTGATGAATAGTAATGTTTAGTTAGTAGATATTATTTATTTATTTATTGCTTAGCAAAGTAGTGTATAATTTTTATTTTATGTTTCTACTTGTACAATACAGTATCTCTGNGTCTGAAGGGGTATGGAAGAATATTTATCATCAGCTGCTAGGATATGATTACTCCAATGCAAACGTGGTTGTCCGATACAATCAACCAACCCAACCCAACCCAACGCTTGTGATGAATAGTAATGTTTAGTTAGTAGATATTATTTATTTATTTATTGCTTAGCAAAGTAGTGTATAATTTTTATTTTATGTTTCTACTTGTACAATACAGTATCTCTGTATCATTTAGCTTCCGGTTTTATTGAGCTGAAATTAATTATGCTTAGCAANAAAGTAGTGTATAATTTTTATTTTATGTTTCTACTTGTACAATACAGTATCTCTGTATCATTTAGCTTCCGGTTTTATTGAGCTGAAATTAATTATGCTTAGCAAATGCTCTTTTTCATAAAATATCAATCGGTTTTATGGTTTAATTATATTTTTTAAAAGTGAAGATATAATTTATCAAAATTATTTACGATCGATCATGAATAATTCTAGTCAGCTTCACCATTAAAATGCATAATTTAACTTCTATGAGGTGTAACTTTTTTTTTAAAAGTTGTGAATCTAATGATTGATCATAAAATATTTATTATCGATTATACTCTTTGTAGTTGTAATTTACATTCAGGACATGTATCGTTGTATCTACACCATAACAATACAAGTGTCAGCAATTAATTAACAAAGATAGGAATAGATTAGATTTTTTTGTATCCGATCCCATCCCACCCAAATTCATTCAAACACTTAATTGAATGGGTTATTTATGTCATCNTAGATTTTTTTGTATCCGATCCCATCCCACCCAAATTCATTCAAACACTTAATTGAATGGGTTATTTATGTCATCTAACCCAAACCATTATTTGGCAAGGAACAATTGAATTGGATGGACTCTACTTTGACTTTTATAGTTATTTACCGTTGTGCCCATTGATAATTTTTTTTAAGCTTAGTTGAAAAAAAATTGGCGCTGCTTCTTTGTGTTCACCCATAATACTAAAGAGAGAAAGAGATGGAAAAATTTTGCAGTGACGGAGAAAGCAGAGGAGTAATACCNCAAACCCAAACCATTATTTGGCAAGGAACAATTGAATTGGATGGACTCTACTTTGACTTTTATAGTTATTTATCATTGTGCCCATTGATAATTTTTTTTAAGCTTAGTTGAAAAAAAATTGGCGCTGCTTCTTTGTGTTCACCCATAATACTATAGAGAGAAAGAGATGGAAAAATTTTGCAGTGACGGAGAAAGCAGAGGAGTAATACCACCACCAGCACAAAAACACCACCACCGCCGCCACAATAGAAATGTCACCATTACCACCCACCACCATATGTTGAAATCACTTTTCGCCTCTGTATCTATGGCGATACTCTCCGTTTATGAAGAAAAAGCTCACAAGCCGACGACTAAACCCTCATCATTGTCAGCGACAATTAAGTCATTCAACGTCGTTCTTGACCCATCGAATCCACCAGGGTTTCTCCAAACCTTTTCTTCTTTGTCACCTCTATGCAACACCTTTGTCGTCACCTCTAACCCAAACCCCTGGACGAGCTCAATTGTGTGTGTGTGTGTGTGTAGTTGTGTGAATGGTTGAATTATAGGGAAATAGAGGACAAATGGGTCTGCTGGATGGTTAACCTGTTGCCTGGGTTTGTAACCCACGGGGTGGGTTAATTGTAACCGATGTAAGGGGGTNTGTAGTTGTGTGAATGGTTGAATTATAGGGAAATAGAGGACAAATGGGTCTGCTGGATGGTTAACCTGTTGCCTGGGTTTGTAACCCACGGGGTGGGTTAATTGTAACCGATGTAAGGGGGTTGTGGACCATTGTAGCAACCAGGTCAAGACTTGATCTAAAATTTTTATCCTGTCTCAAAAAATGCTTTCCAAACAAAGAATAAATAGGACCCACGACACTACCCAAACACACCCTTATAGGGAAAAAATTATTGAAATTGAATCCATACGAAGTTGATTGGAATTTGACCTACATTTGAAATGAGTATTTTGTAATTAACCTTATTAGGGGTTATTATCACAAAAAATAGTCAAAAATAAATCAATGAAAAATCTATGATGTATGGTACTGGAAAATGTTCTATGGTACTATAGGCTTATCCTCTTGTTAAATGGACAATTGATGAATTACCTCCCTATAATTTGACCGCAAAACACATTGCATCCTTGTACTTAGAAAAGCCCCTTATTCCTTAATTGGATAAAGCTAACCCTTATTCCTTAATAGAATATATTTATACCAAAATCAACCTACCTCATATTCAACCTCTCTTAACGCAGCACATCACCATTGCTCGTTTGCTAGCGAAGACACCCACAAGCTTTAGGTTCGAGAATTTGATAAAAGGTGAGGTGAACTTTGATTAGTGTATGTGAGGGCATTTTGGGTATTAAAAAGTTCACTTTTGGAGGGAAACAGACGGCTCCCAATTTCAAACTTGCCAATTTGAATAATTGGCGCGTTGATATTACCTGGTCAACGATTTCAACTTGGTCCAAGCAGTAGCACAACTTACTTGTGTCTATGATAAAATATCGTAGAATTCCCCGAATACAATTCCCACAATTGAGGGAAGAGGAATAACAAAAAGAGAGAAGAGGAGAGAGAAACAAAAAACTCAATATACTCAGTGATGACATCACATTCTAACCGACTAACTAGTTATCAAATGGGCTTTACATAAGTGTATTGGTGAAAAACTAGAGGGAATGACTTAGCGATCCAAGCTCGATTCTGACAGAAGAGGACTCAAGGAGCTCGATCTCAGCAGTTGTGTGAAGAAGAAGAAAAGGCCTACTGTAGTGCTTTAGCTTCAATTTACCTGGTATACTTTCAATTTCTATCAATAATTGCTTCGATTCAGCCTTCAATTTCTTGTATTTTCTCGCTTAAAATTCATTCACTTTGCTCATAGTATGTGGTTCTCTATAATTGAGCGTAGATTTCACATGTTGAATGAATGTAGTTTATTATCTATTGATTTGGCTGTTGTTTTCTTATGGATTCGCGTATTGTTATTTATTTGCTTTGTGCAAAAATTATGGTGAAATCGTGTTTGTCGTGGNTTGATTTGGCTGTTGTTTTCTTATGGATTCGCGTACTGTTATTTATTTGCTTTGTGCAAAAATTATGGTGAAATCGTGTTTGTCGTGGTTAATACTTTTTAGAATTTGTTAAATTGTGTTTGTGTTATCATTCGATTGGAGTTGAAGACTATATTGAGGAAAAATTTATTAATACAATTAACTAGTATTATTACATATTGACGGGGTCTCAGAAATCACAGCCCAAGTCCAACGTATGTGAGGCTATTGGATCTGGTGTTTAGAGCAGGTTTGGTAGACTGGACTGTCTAATCAAAGAGAAAAAGAAGAAGATAAGTAGTTCGCCTCAGCCGATAGATCGATGGTATGTCCACTGTAATGGAGTCTCTTGCTCCTTAATGCTGTATATTAAAGCTCCGATGTATACAGGCGGGATTCAGGCGCTGGGCTTTTACAGGGGTTGGTGTTTGCTTATAGAATGGACATGGTTGATCAATGTTCTCTGGGGATGCCCTTTTTGTTGGGCACTGATCTATTTGTATATGGGTTGTCTCTCTTTGTGGTTTTTGGCGATTTCTTCTACGTTTTACCGATCCTGTGGGGACCTCCTGTCATTGGCCTGCAAAAGTCTTTTTTCAGCCGGCGCCACTGCGCCCTACGATCTCTGGGGCGTTATGCTCCACCATCTTCTGCCTNCCTCCTGTCATTGGCCTGCAAAAGTCTTTTTTCAGCCGGCGCCACTGCGCCCTACGATCTCTGGGGCGTTATGCTCCACCATCTTCTGCCTGCTGGAGGATGTAGCCATCGCAAGTTTCAGAGATGGTCCTCCTGTTCTCTGGACGCGTGGCACGACGGGACGACNACGATCTCTGGGGCGTTATGCTCCACCATCTTCTGCCTGCTGGAGGATGTAGCCATCACAAGTTTCAGAGATGGTCCTCCTGTTCTCTGGACGCGTGGCATGACGGGACAAATTCGAGGCAGAGATCCGATTTCTTCTCTTTGGACTGTTCTTTAGCTGGTACCTAATTGGGCCGGGTTTAGATCATTGCCCCTCGGGAGCCCGTCGGGGCTCATCCTTTCAGCTCTCTTTCTTGGGTTAATAGGAGGCGTTCCCGGTTTGGCCAATGGACTTTCCTCCAGTTCCTCATGGGTTTTTGGGCTTCGAGCTTGTTGGTGGCCCATGCCTAGAATTTTAGCCTTATCACATATCTTAAATCAATGCTGATAATCTATGTCCAAATAAGTGCAAGTTTATTTTTCCCGTTTAGAAAAATACTTCTTCTTACTTAGAGTTCAGTTGTACTAGCGTACATCAACATTTAATACTTAGGTTATGACATATTTTGTCAGATCAGTAAAGGAATCTGATAAGAAGTTGTTGTGGCAGAAATGAGTGGCTTTGACCTTAGGAATAGGAGTGGAGTTGTTGCTGTCGCAAGGCAAAGGGGAACTGATGTTGTACTTGATGATGAGTTCAATTGTGAGACTCCCACAGTTATATGTTTTGAGGCCAAACAGTTGTTCTTTGGATCATCCA